TATATATATATGTGAACAAATTGGAACTCTCTTGGCCTCGAACCTATCAGCTGGAGTCACGGACCTCTCAAGGCCTGCTAATTACAAGTCAAAATAAGGGTCCAGAACATTCGACACACCTGCTCAACAGCAAACATAGTTTTGCCTTTGTCATCTTTTGGCAAATCCTGGCTCAGGAAGCGTGGGATCACGGTCTGTGTTGGAGGTTTTCGCCATCGAATTGCCTGCACCATTCTCCAAGCAAAAACATGGCTGCCCCTCAATTTAAACAACAAGGGGCTTTCCTCATTGTCGAGCTTGTCTCCGAAGCCTCGCGCGTGACAAATCATGGCCAATTCACAATGTATCCCTGCGTAATATTCAATTGTTCGGGTCCATTAATCTCCAAGTTCATCTCCGAGAGTTTGTCTTTGTGTGAAAGTAAGCCTTAGCAATGTCTTCTACAGCACATTCTGCTAAGGCTAAAGCCTAAGATTCTCCGCTTGAACATGATTTGACACAGTTCTATCCTGGGGCTGCTGCTAGACCTGCAGCTTTAATTCAAACACTGTGGGTAAGTGAGGGCATTGGGAGTGGCAATCACTGTTGTACAAACTGTTCGGATGCCGCTGATGCCACTTGGACGAAGAAGTTGGTGTCCGTGAAATTCCCACCTTCTTGAAGGCTCCAAGACGTTCCAAGTAGTGATAATTATATATAATTATGCAGTTTCACTAAACGACAACTAATTAATTGACTTAGACTTTGGGAGGTCATGTCAAGACTGAAAAACTCATCTCCGTCACCGTCATGTCAAGACTGAAAACTCGGACATGATACAGCAACTGAGCAACATGCAAAAGACTTCATACATAAACCAACTTAAGCAATACAACTCCCTTGCCAAAACAGGCAAGCACTAAGCATGGAGGGTTTGTAGGAAGTCAGGTCGCTTCACCTGATGATCGATTGTGCTTCGATATGGTGCACTACAACTACTACAACTAGGACCTCCAGCAATGCATATAGTTGGAAAGGGTTCAGAAAGGGTCGCATTCCACCATTCGTTGTCTGCGCCTCGGTTGTCCAAAACCTCCTGCTCCGATTCCAGTTCGCGCTGGACATCCAAATCCTCGAACAAACTTGCAACCTCTGGACACATATTGGCTTCGCCTTGCCTATCGGCATGCGTACAAATGCTTGCTTGCGCGCCATCGTATTTCTCAGCTAGTGCTGCTTGGAAAAGTCTTCCTCGTTTTGACTGCAGCCTTGCATGGGGCCTAGAAATGGCTCAAGGCTTCATTCGATTGCAGGGGGAGTGTTTCATCGAGTCTATAGTCGCTAGTCGTGACTGCATTTCCTGGACAGAGTTCTTTTTCGGTTTCCTGACACAATGCAACAGTGAATCTTGGACAATAATACCATTATGCGAGCGAGACATGGAGAAGTGTTATGTAACCAACTTGAACCACATAACAAGTTCAAAGAACCAAAGACCCTGAATCACTGCAGCTCTCTGCAGCCATTTCTTGCGTCAAACACACCAGCTATCACGAGCTTTCTTTAGTTTCGCCAGGCATCAATCTTATTGCGGACCATGAAGAAGGGCACATTCCAGTGTCGCAGGTCTTCCAGCAACAAAAGTTCGGCCTCCGTAAATCCTCGGGCGACGCGATGCCCACCATGGGCGCCCGCCATACCCGCCATGCGGACCTGCCTTGAGACCACGGGTTGACTAAAAATGCCTCCTTACAAACATGTTCTCAATAGCGTATAAACATATGATTTGCCCCTTGACATAAGTGATGCCTGGCCCCCAAAAAGTTGAGGTACAACATGTCGGGTATGACATGGTATGACCAGCTCCAGTTAGTCTCTGGAAAGGAGCCTGGCACGCATGTGCAAACATGTTGGTGAGTTTGATCGTACAGGTTGATCACTTGACGAAGCTTGGTGTCAGGTTCAACCAAATCTTCCTCGAAACCCCATTTCTGAAAACCTAGTGTCTCTGATCCGTGATGAGGACGACGACATCAAAGTGCCTGATCCCCAAGTTCTGCAGGTATGTCCTGATCTAAAGAAGCAAATTGAGAGTGTAACTTCATGTCATGCCTCAAACAAATCCACAAAACAAAGTGGAATCCAAGCTTGTGCATGATCTTTTCCTTTGCAATCGTATGCATGCCGGTGCTATTGCCCTGACAATCACCAGCACACCCAAATGACGCCTATGGTCGGTAGAAGTTGCGCCGCAAAGCTCCTATCTTCCGCATGGCTAGCTACAGGACAAACTCTGTTTGCATTTCGAGCAACTCTGGTGGAAATCCTGCAGTACCAACTCCTGGCAAGTCCTGCCGGCAAGACTTCGCGCTACGCAGAAAGACACAAACATCGGCAGACTATGATAGACTGTGGACGTCCACAACCTGAAAGCCATAGCCCTGCAGTGCTCAAATCTGTTGGCCCAAGTCTGGAAGAACAGCTCAAAAGAAGTCAATGATGATGCCAAGGCACCCAAATGACGCAAGGTTTGTTCGTCCTTGGCTTGACACTCGGTTCCGTGTTTCATCTTCTGCAACCTGCCCCTTACACGATGGGACAATGCCTCTGGATGCCCAAATGCAACATTCTCAAAGCAGCTCGTCTGTGGCCGTGCCAACACTCTGAAAACACCCCGCAGATATGTCCGCCCAAAAATGGTTTCGTGTAGAGCTGGCTCAACAATCGAGAACTTGGCTCCTGTCCAGTGTGCTAATGGTGTTTCAGGAATAGAATGCAAAAGGTATGTCTTTTTCCTGCTTGGTCCAACCTGAAGCCCTCGCCCACCCACGCGGCAACCCACGCAGTGCGGGCGCATCTTTTTGAAATGGTCGCGCGTGGGGGTTTCGGGTCTCATCCAGAAAGTTCATCTGCGAGTGAACCTTCCTCTGCTAATTCCCTGATGATGTCAAGACCGCCCAAAAGCCTCCCCTTGGCATAGAGCTGGGGATATGTGGGCCAATTGGAGTATTCTTTCAATCCTTGCCTCACATCCTCGTCTGAGAGAATGTCGAAGGTGTCAAAGTCCACATCCTGCTCATTCAGCAACTCGATCATTTTGCCTTAGGTTTCTCCAGATATTGAGACAACGACGAAGGTCTAAGACGGCCGCCTGACCTCCTGACCTACCTGACCTACTTCCAGCCAATTTGAGATGCAATTCCTCGGCCGCCTTCCTATTTCCTATGATGTATGACTTAATTACTGCAGGTTCTTCCACAATGGGTGGCCTCTTGGTCCTAGAGGCGGGAGAAGCCACAACGCGGCGCATCTGGCGTACCCTTCATAAAGAGCATGACGGGATGTTGGCAAATCAAGGATTTCAATCTCTCCTGCCAGGTGTTCGTCCGAACAGGGACACCACAAAATACATGAGCAAGCTTAAGCTCATTAGAAACATCCCAGATTTGGGTTCAGAGTGTGCCCCGGGCGGGTGGAATAGTTCCAGTTTCACTTCCAGTTCCAATTGTGGGCCCGGGTCTGGACGTGATTGCCAACGTCAGTTTAGCGTGGATG